AAAAAAAAAAAAAAAAAGGAGTAAAAAAGCCAATATATTTACTGTGCTTTGAACTTCTTTCAAAAATAATTTTCAGAAATTTTCTTGGCACATCTAAGATCCTCTCACTGCACGCCAAGTGTGCTGTGCCATACTGGTTGAAAATCACTGCTTTAGACAAAGCTTCATTTCTTTAACCAACTACAAATCAAAGACCCTTTAAGCCCACCTGTAACCTATAACTTATAATGCCCCACTTTGAAATGTCCTGCCTTTGGGGGCCAAGTCAGTGTACACCTTGCCTGCATTGATTTATGACTTTACATATAATTTCTGTCTCCCTGAAATGTATAAAAGCAAACTGTGTAACCCAACCATGGTGAGACCACCTGTTTAAGGCTTCTTGGGTGTGGCTTTTCGGGCCACAGTCACACATATTCAGTTCTGGAATCAACCTCTATTTTACAGAGTTTGGGTTCTTTTCCATTGGCATATTATTAATTGAGGAAAATAAGGCACAAATAGGTCACTTGCTCAAGGTCACAAATCCATCGAGAGGCAGAGTGATTGCCAGTGAAGGATGCCTCCCAGAAGGCTGGAGTTGTAAATAGATAACCATTCTAAAATGGCCATTCTAAAATGGTTCTTCCACGGCAAGATCTACTCTGATATTAGCAACGGGGTCATGCAGCTCGGTGGGAGGGGCTTCCTAGCACACACACCTATGTTTTTGTGGTTGAGTCACCTGCTAAAAGTGTGACCTTAAGTGAGGTACTTTATGGCTTTATGGTCTGTATGGCTATTTTTCTGCACTGGGCAACAAAATACATACGGCGCCTAGCACAGGCAGGGGTTCAGCAAATGATAGTTCTTTCTTCTATTTCCCATCTCACTCACCTCTCCTAGATTGTCACCCCAGGCCTGTGTTTTTGCAATGCAGGGCCTTTCTGGTGGTTTCTTGTCCTTGGTCGGTGGCAGCCACACTTTATTGAGCACTTACTACATGCCAGGTTCTATGCTAAGGGTTTTGCATATAATGCCTCTTTATCCCTCTCAACCATATGAAAGAGATGTTAGTATTATTCCCATTTCTACAGATAAGGAAACTAAGGCTTACGTAGGTGCAAAAACGTGTGCCTGGCTGGGTGTGGTGGCTTAACACCTGTAATCCTAGCACTCTGGGAGGCCAAAGTGGGAGGATTGCTTTAGCTCGGGAGTTAGAGACTACCCTGTCTCTACTAAAAATAAAGAAAAATTAGTCAGGTACTGTGGTGAGTGCCTGTAGTCCCAGCTACTTGAGAGGCTGCGGCAGGAGGACCTCTTGAACTCAGGAGTTTGAGGTTGCTGTGAGCTAGGCTGACACCATGGGATTCTAGCCTGGGCAACAGAGTGAGTTTGTCCCAAAAAATAAAAACAAAAAAACTTGTACCCTGACCTCACATAGCCCTGGGCTATTTCCTTGTAGTGTGAAGTTCAGCCTTAAGTGCTAGGTAGAGCCATGAAGTCCCAAGGCCAAGTTTTCTGGGATTAAGTAAGAACAGCAGACGTTGCTCTCATTGCATCAAGTATGCAAGGAGGATGTAGCCGATGCATCGTTGCTGTCACAGAAAATACATGTGAGATTCCTGTAACTGCCATGGTATAGAACAAGTGGTGGCTCTTACTCTGTCTGGTCCAATAAAGGTTACTGCGATGTTTAATTGCTGGGGCCCGGCTCGGCGCCTATAGCTCAACCGGCTAAGGCGCCAGCCACGTACACCTAAGGTGGCGGGTTCGAATCCCCAGCCCGGACCCGCCAAACAACAATGACGGCTGCAAGCAAAAAATAGCCGGGCGTTGTGGCGGGCGCCTGTGGTCCCAGCTACTTGGGAGGCGGAGGCAAGAGACTCGCTTGAGCCCAGGAGTTGGAGGTTGCTGTGAGCTGTAATGCCACAGCACTCTGCCCAGGGGGACGGCTTGAGGCTCTGTCTCAAAAAAAAAAAAAAAATTGCTGGGGCCTCCTTGCATGTGTTAACATATTAAAAAGTCACATCTGTTAAATATACTGACACTTTGATATGAACAAATAATCTATTAACATAAAACAAAGATAAACAAGCCTTTAATTCCACTCAAGAGGAAAGAACATTGTCTCTCTACCCGTATCAAAATATTTCTTTCTTGGATTTTAGAAATGTGTTTTTCTACTTCATTTAGGGAGTGCCCATATTTTTTTTGAACACAGAAACAGGCGCACACACTAAGATGTAACAAGTTTATTTGTCAATTTTTACATGATCACACATGGTTTTAACTCCTAGAGCTCTGAGTATGTTGTGGGGGTGTGCTGGGGCACTCGGCAGGTAGCAGAACAGGGCTGTGCTACCCTCTCGCTCTCTCTGGGGTTATGGACTTGGCCAGCTATCCCCAGCACTTGAAGAGAATTTATGTTTTGGGGGGCTCCTTAACTCTTTCAGGATGCAAGGATATCACTTACCACTTGGATAAGGCCCCTCTTTACCCCCAGATAGTAATCTTTGAACACTTTTGTTCTAGGTTAATCTAGAAAGGAATCATGAATAATTATGTAACATCTAGGACATCCCATGTCTTTAAATTGACCTAATTTTTTTTTTCTAAAATTTTTTAAAACTCATAGGTTGAAGATCACATCATTCCCAGTGTATAAAATATAAAAACTTAAACAAAATTATTATATCACTTTCAATAAAATTGAAATACTTATCCGAAACCTACCTTTGTTTAAAAATAATATGAATAGGGTCTTCACAATAGTTTGGAAGTTTTGCATGGTCTTGGATCTGGTATTTCTATTCCGTTTCTCCAAATCATCTCATCTGAATGTAATGTTATCTTATACCTGAAAATATCACTTTCATCACTCTATCATAATTCTCTGTGAGAGAGTATATAAATTTTAATTTTTTCCCTGTACCTAGTTATTCTTCTGATTATAATTTTATAATCATAATATAATTATTAATATCATTATTGCTGTCACTTATGAGTGGCAGTACACAATAGACCAAAATAAGAGACAATTGACTTTGATAAGTGATTGTTAACATAGCTAAATTGTTATTGGGAATGTATCCCTTAATGAGTGGCATGGAATGTTTCCCACATATTTTGCGTATTCCTAATGATTACTTATTACTGAAATCAGACAAGGTTCGGCACCAGTTCTATTCCTGCTTCTTATTTTTACTGGATGAGTATAAATATGAGAAAGTTTGTTTACATTAAAAAAAGTTTTGTGGAACTGAAGGAGTTTTTTTATAACTCAATAAATTAATGCCACTTTATTTATTTGTTTGTTTGTTTGTTTGTTGGAGGAAGAGTCTCACTGTGTTGCTCAGGCTAGGGTGCAGTGGCCTCATCATAGCTCACTGCAACTGTGACCTCCTGGGCTCAAGTGGTCCTCCTGCCTCTGCCTTCTGAGTAGCTGGGACTATAGGTGTGCACCACCATTCCTACTAATTTTTCTAATTTTTTTGTGGTGAAGGGGTCTCCCCCTTGCTCAGGCTGGTCTTGAACTCTTGGCTTCTAGTAACCCTTTAGCTTCAATCTTCTAGAGTACTAGGATTATAGGCTTGAGCCACCGGGCCCAACCACCACTTGATTTCGTGAAACAATTTCCAAGTTATGTGCCAAAGAACGCTCAGCTATTGCTTTTAGAAAATTACTTTAGGTGATCTAATCTGCTGAGACCTTGATCAGGTTCTTCTTCTGTTCTGTTGAAAAGAATAATAGCTGAGTGCAGTGGCTCACGCCTGTAATCCTAGCACTCTAGGAGGCTGAGGAAGATGGATTCCTTGAGCTCATGAGTTACAGACCAGCCTGAGCAAAATTGAGACATACCCCCTCCCCTGTCTCTACCAAAGATAGAAAAACTGAGGCAAGAGGATTGCTTGAGCCCAAGAGTTTGAGGTTGCTGTGAGCTGTGATGCCATGGCACTCTATCCAGGGTGACAGCTTGAGACTCTGTCTTACAAAAAAAGAAATAAAGAAAGAAAAGAATAGTAAAGAAAATAATAATAATATGGAAACTCAGTGACTTTCAAAAGGATTTTGTGTCATTGCTGTTCCTTTTAAGGCACCCTGGAGAGTTTACATCACCCATCAGTGCAATTTGTGGTACACTGTCAAGCTTGGCATAGTGAGAGGTGGCACAGAGAACAGGGAGGACCCCTAACTTGTTCCCAGGAAAGAGTTTGTAGGGAAGCTGAGGACTTGGAAATTAATTTCTTTAAAATGATCCGTGTTGGCTTGGCACTGTGGCTCAAGCAACTAAAGCACCAGCCACATACACC